CTCGTGGTTCGACCCTCGATCTTGGTTGGAATTTCACGTGTCAAGGATCACTTACCCACGACAAAGTACCTTTTAATATGCCTTAACAGCATCGAGAGCGTCACGGCGGCGAGGGCCTGCAGCACGGCCAAGCTCAGGAAGCTTAAGGTCACCGTGCCGGCGCCGCCCAGGGCGCACACCACGTACGCCTGTCGGGCGGGCATGATAATTATAGCCGTGTAATTTTCGGGAAATACGCAGTGCTAATTATAGCCGATTTAAGGAAATTAAATGTGGGGTCTCTCTCGCCGTCTCGCCTGTTTAGCTGCCAAAAAGTTTGTGTTCGAGATAAAACGCGTCAATGTTCATGTCACGGGAGATGGCAGACGAACGCACGGATTCTCTCGTTAATGTCTCGAAGGAAAGAAATGGAAAATTTGCTTGGGTCGTCAAGTCAGATATACATTCGAAAGAATGACGCATATTTGCTTTAAAATTATTCCCGAGCTACGCATATCGGTTCAATTTGGAGACACCGCGTGGCTTATATTAAGAAAAAAAGTAGTTAATCTCACGAAAACATTGTAATTAACATGTAATCTCATGAAAATCAAATGTTCCTTTGTTGTTCGAAAGAGAAAAAAGAATAACGTTATACATGCAAGATCACTATCAATAACACTATAGTCACGCTTACTACAAAAATCATTTTTCTATTATTGTTTTACTGTGTAATAAAGCTTGATCTACAATGTGCGCATTGCTTCCTGTTTCTCTTTCTTGGTGCCTCAAACTGCTGTCTCAAACTTTAAACCAGATGAAGGTAAAGAACAAGAAACAGAGAGCAAAGAGCACATTGTAGATCAGACTTTATAGTTACAAAGATTTTTATAATCAAAGATTCTTTTACCAATACGGTTTGATCGTGACGAAAAAAAATTGATCATGCAATTATTATTAAATAAGTTGATTAATCGGTTAATCGTTTAGTTAAATTAATAGTTAAATAGGTGAAGTTGTTTGCTGTATTTACCTCCACGAAATCGGCGTAGATGAAGCCCTGCTCGAGTCCGATGAAGAGCGTGAGCGGCGCCGCGAGCTGGAGCTTAGGGTCCTGAAAGGCGCACTTGACGGACTTCAGGATACTACGGGCGGTGGTGCGATCGTGGCTCGCCTGCGGCTCCTGCATCCTCGAGTCGAGGAACGCACAAGATATGCTCAAAGCGAGCACCGCCAGGCCAAGCCAGATGCTGACTAGCACCTTCGACGTGCCCCACGTGACCGTCGGCACATAGAGCGATTCGTTGTAGAAATAAGTTTCCTCCGAGCAGTACTCGGCCCCGCAGATGTCCCCGACGTCGCTGTTCACGATGCTAGGCGGCGGTATCAAGTCCGTCAGCCTGACGAGGATCGAGGCGATGACGCAGCCTGAAACGCAGGCAACCGACGTTAGGTTGGGCAGTGCGAAATTATTTGTAAATTAATTAGTGACTGTTAATTGCTCATTGGCGAAATAATCGATACCAATTAACGCAACAACTCAACTAGTAAAAAGAAATATATATATATATATATATACATATACAGGGTGTCCCCCTAATTATGTAAATGTAAATTATGTAAATGTCCACATAGATTTTTAGATATTAAAGAAAATTTGTGCATTATAATTATATATAAACATATAATTATATATATTATATATAAACAATTTTCTTTAATATCTAAAAATCTATGTGGTCATTTGTAAAATGATAGAGGACTTTTTTGTTCAGTTTGATTTAATATCGCAAAACGGTATAGGACTTTTATGTTCACCTCAACCCGTTCTATATTCCCATTTAACGTGAGAAGGAGAGTGTGGGATACCCTGTATATAACATTCAGGCTGTATATACGTGCGAATTGCGATTCGATAAGATTTCATTGAACGATAAAATTAAATTCAGTAGAAACCTGGTAAAAAGATTCTTTCTTAAAGAGGATGAATACTGAATTCAAATATTTAAAAAAAAATGATAAATATTGTATGTGTGAAGAGAGTAAGAATTTAGGATTTTAGGATTTTCTGATAAGTGTCTGGCGAATTCGGAACGTTACGAGTTCGCAATGTACCGAATGCGAGGCCGATGTCCTCAGCCAGCTTGATTCCCCGATTAAGTCTCCTTAGCAGGCATTCGCGTCGCGTCTCGTCAGGATCCTCGGGATCGACGCAGACCAGCGCCAGGCTGGTCGCCGAGACGTTGACGTGCGACGTCCTCGCCAGGAAGCTCGGGCTGGCGCAGGCACCCAGCATCGCGTAGCTGGGCAGGAGTATGTACCTGCCGATGTGGAAGAGCGCGCATGTTACTTTCGTGACGGCTCGCTTTGTCATAACGCCTATTTTCGTACCGTCAAGCAGAGGAAGATAGAGACAGAGAGAAAGGGAGAAAGAGGTGCGCGCGCGTCTTCGCTTGTCGCTTTCGCCGACCTTTTTTTATGAGCCAATAAATAAAGCCTCGCCTCTCGAGGAGAGACTTTTCTGGCGCGGAACCAGAATAAAAAATGGCGATATTAAACGGTAGAACGTAAAGGGAAAAATCTCACTTTCATGAAAGACTCCCAGCAGAGTCACGGAGAGTATACGGAGATTATCCGCGACGTGGCGACGACGACGCGACACACGAGATCAAATAAACTTGTGTATTATTAAATTAGGTCGAAATTATTCAAGACTGCAAAAGCTGATCTACGCTAAGCAAAAAAATTACTAGATTATTCTCCAAATATTTTCAAGTGTTTTCCAAGTATTCTAAGTAATCTCCAAGTATTTTCAAATTTCACTGAAAACGAGAGAAATTAAAATATCTCTATAGTGAACGTCTAACTCAAACTTAATTCTGTTAAACGAATTTGTTATTGTAATGCACGATAGGCCAGATTCGCTCTTCAATTTCGAACGAAAATATGAATTATGCAAATACCCGATCGATCCAAAGTGGAAGAATTTTTCATAAGTAGAAGGTCACTCAACTTCGGCTTAATCACTCTACTTAGTCAATAGTAATTTTGCTCGAAGAAACGAGGATAAAAATGAAATTAAGCCCTTCGTGGCGCGTGAAGAAGAGCGCGTCAACGGGAGGAGACAATACCACTTGGGATACAGATGCACGCCGACGAAGACGGTGGTGACCAAGTGGCTGATGGTGATGGTGAGGTTCGTGCCGAGCTTCTGTACGACGATGGGCGCGAAGCAGCTGGTGACGGTGGCGATCGCATAGAGCAGGGCGAGCAAGATCGGGCCTAGGTGAGGCTCGAACGCGCCGATACCTGCTTGCAACGGGAAAATCGGCAGCATCGCAGCTGAGCAGGTCGCGTGTCCCAGCAGAAGAGCCACGCAGTGACGAAGTATCGCCTTGCGAGGTGGCCGCGGTCCGGACGGCGCCGCTCTGACCGCCGCGATCAGCCGGCGTACCGACGATGCGCCCGCTGATGAGTTCATAGAGTCACGACGTCGCCAGGACAATGCCGAGATGCGCGTTGATCGGCAAGAGATCGGCGAGTACGCCGCCATGTGCTACGAACAAATAGACAAAGATAGGATGGAGGAGGGAGCGATCTTCCAGGCTCCCACGGCGAACGTGACTCGACACGATCGGCGATGCACGCCTAAAAACGCCGATAAAATTAGCGGCAATCGTCATGTTAATTAGCAGCACGTTCGCGAGACATTACGCAATATGCACGATTAATAATATGCGTCTTTTTGTCTGATATCTCTTGCGACAGCGAGACGAGTTGATTACTTCGGACCTATTCTAACCAAGTTGTACACGGAAAAAACAACTTCATTAGTGTAATTGAATTTTCCGTTATACCCGGGGGCCAAATGAATAACTCAGTTGTAAGAACAAAAAGACTCCTGCAGAAAGTTTCTACTCAGCCAATTGTTCTCACAAGGAACCCCACATAGGTGTTTAGCTACGATCTGGATGAGCTTGAAATATATTGTAATTCAGACCAAAAGAAAAGACACGTATTTTTTTATATGTACTCAGGCGGACTTTTAGGGGGAAAAACATCCTTTTGAGGAAAATCAGTTTTTTTTTTAGAAGTATGTTTCATCAAAAGTATAAGAGATAGAAAAAAATTTTCTAGACAAAAATTAAATGGTTTTAGAAGTACTTTGCAATGACAAAATCAGATATTTGTGAAAATTGGTAAGTGGTGGGAGTATGTTGACAATCATAACATTTTTCAAATATCTGATTTTATCATTGCAAAGTACTCCTAAAACCATTTAATTTTTGTCTAGAAAATTTTTTTCTATCTCTTATACTTTTGACGAAACATGCTCCTAAAGAAAAAAAACCGATTTTTTTCAAAGACGTGTTTTGCTCCCTTAAAAGCCCGCTTGGGCACGTATAAAAAATACGTGTCTTTCTTTTTTGTCTGAATTACAATATATTTCAAGCTCATCCAAATCGGAGCTAGACACCTATGTGGGGTAATTGAAATCTCTTTTTTCGTGTAGGATCTTGAGCGATTCGACAGATTTCACGAGTTAATGTGTTACCTCCATCATCGCGTCATTGTCGCACAAGGTAGAGTGATGATGCCCGCTGCTCCTGGCGCGTCTGTGCGTGTGGGCCAACGGCGGAGGCTGCGCGGGCAATCGCATCGGGCCAAGACCGCCGATCGGCGCCGGTCTGTGTACCGGGCCTTCTAGCTTGTCCTTGGACAGCTCGTGAAGATTCGGCAAAGACCCCATTGTCGCTTCAACCGGGGCCCGTGGTCGGGCTCGTCGCGATTGTTCGCGTTATAGCGAACGTGTAGCGCCTTCTCCTTTCTCACGCGCGATCCGGCATCTCGCCTGATCTCATTACGATTTCATCCCTCGCCGATCGAGTAGCCGCCCTGGTCGCGATCGACGGTCTCCTCATCTACGGCATAGCCACCTGGGTGCGGAAAAAGCCCGGTGGGGCCAATCATTCATTACACGTGCTTACATAAGTTTACATTAGTTTCTTCAATATCTTTCGCCAGGATTTCAAAGTTCAATCTAATTTAATCTGGCGTTTACACGATAATCGCGAGCTCTGCGAATCTCAGCTCGAAGAATGCAACTTATATAATTTCCTCTATAATGATACTGTTTCTTGGAATTTTAAAATTGAATCTATTGAATGGATTGTGTAACAAGTAATTTCGGAATTTTTAGATAAAATGATTGTATTTTTACGTCGTAATTTTATGAGACAATGTATGCATCGTTATGATCTATGAGCTTGCACTATCAAACTTGTGCTACATTGTTACACAGAATTATAACGACATAAAAATGTAATCGTTTCATTTTATTTAAAAAATGTGAATCCACACTTCCGCTGTATTGCTTTGTCTACAAGAGAAGTTGTACAAGCTGTTTTTTTTTCAAATAAATTTTTTTCATTTATTATGTTTTTAGTATGCAAGAAGAGACTGGCAAAATCTGTCTTATTAAAAGATATAGAAATTTTTAACGACACATTTCAGAGTTCCTAAGATGTAAATAATACATATAAAATGAAAGACTAATAAATCATTGCAGAATGTCGATCTATTTCTCGATTAAAAAGTTCTGAAAGGAGATTATATAAGAAATCTGTAATCAATGGAGATTTAACGAGTATGTGCGCTGGGAATCGAGGAAGATCTTAAGAAAGGCGCTGGCACTCTCCTTGGATGTAAGGATAGAGTGAGGGAGAGGAGAAGAGTCTTCGCAGGACAGTGGAGAATTAGATTGTAACATACCAGAGAAATATATGTCTTAAAGCGAGAAGCATAGTGATCTTCGACGTACCTATTTCTTACAATACTGAGTGAAATATTAAAGTCGAAAATGGAATAAAAATTCCGACTGAGGAAGCCCCGGAGACAGAGAGACTGAATATCGATCAATCCGCGGATATTTGAATTCGAAGCATTGCGGTAAAGAATTGCGCGCTCCGCGAACTGAGAAGCCGACGGTTCCGTGAAACAACCGGCGCACGCCTTGCATAATTCAATCGAGAATTATCGGCACTCGGCACCAATTACCAAGACGCGTGGAAAAAACGGCCGCAGAAAAATTCTAGCGGTCACCCGCGCAGCCTTGAACGAGAACTTGCCGTGGACTTTGCGGCAACCGTAAAGTATAAATAAATTGAACGCACCGTCCAATGCGGCCTTGGCGTCGCTCTGACGAACGAACGAACGGATGGACGATCCCATCCAATCGCGAATTGATCGGCAACGATCGCCGCCTCTCGGAAACCGGAAATGCAGACGAATGCAAATGCGTTAGGGCGTGAAACGAATCCACGTTATGCCACTGCTGTCGGTATTTCAATCGGCCAATGCTTGAAGAAGATGAATGGGAGGAAGAATGACGCAAAAACTGGAAGGAGATCACCAGCGACACGTTCGCAAACCGTGAACGCGATCGTTATCTGCTTACGCAACGCGAGCTCATGATCCTGAACACCTGCTTGACGGCGCGCACCCCTGATTAGGTCGTGATCCCCCGTTATATCAAATCATCTGATCCAAGACGAAGAACTGTTAGGGCCGGTTTTTCAATGATACTTAGATTAAACTTAGATTGCAACTTAAACTCTATTTAAACAAAACAAACGCATTGTTAGAACAGAGTTTAAGGGGCTGGAGGCTCAGATTGTCTGAAAATCGTGCTTGTTCTTTCACGATTTTTTATGACAAACTGAATGAATATGCGAGTGTTATTTTGACGTGTATTTATACAACATATAAAGAGAAGAAAAATATAATTTTGATGATCAAATAGTGTATGGTATATGCAGTTAAAATATATTTCGTTTTTCTTTTCAAGGTTGTCATTTTGCAGCAATATCTTGACTCTTGGTGGTTCAATTAAGCTGAATTTTAGGTAAAAAATTTCCGTAAGTTTGTCGTTATCGTGTGAACCACTATAATAGAAATTGAGTAAAAGTTAACAAAATTGCAAATATCTTAATGGAATATTACTAAAATTTTCAGTTCTTTTATAGTAAAAAAATTAATATTTCAAAATTAAATATTTGCACGAGTTTGTCAGTGGTCACCCGACAAGCTTACAGAAATTTTCTATCTAAAATTCAGCTTAATTGAATCATCGAGAGTCAAGATATTACTGCAAAATGACCTCGAAAAAAAACCGAAATATATTTTAAATGTATATACCATACACTTATATCACTGACAAACTCGTGAAAATATTTAATTTTGAAATATTAATTTTTTTACTATAAAAACTGAAAATTTAATAATATTCTATTAAAATATTTGCAATTTTGTTAACTTTTACTCAATTCCTATTATAGTGGTTCACATGATAACGATAAGCTTACGGAAATTGTCTATCTAAAATTCAGCTTAATTGAACCACCGAGAGTCAAGATATTACTGCAAATTGACGACCTTGAAAAGAAACACGAAATATATTTTAACTGCATGTACTATACATTTATATTAAGTATTTGATCATCAAAATTATATTTTTCTTCTCTTTATATGTTGTATAAATACACGTCAAAATAACACTTTTGCATATTCATTCAGTTTGTCATAAAAAATTGTGAAAAAACGCACGATTTTCAGGCAATCTGAAAATCCCTCCAGTCCCCTTAAACTTGAATCCAAGTTTAAACTGCTATTAAAAAACCGGCACTTAAAGTCACATTTAACTAACGCCCCAACGTGTCTCCGATACCAAGCTACGAAAAGCGGCTTTGGTCTCTTTCACCTCCAAAAAAAATAGAATTTTATTTTTATAGAGATTTACCCCCGCTAAGATTATATCTTGAATGTTGAAGGTGGAATGATTTGTCGCGCTTCCTCTGCGTCCTCTAACACATTACGTTCTTTATAAATCACGAGATAAATTTTTCTCTGAATTTCGAAACGGGTGAAAATTTACTCGACGCGATAGGGAGAGCACCACCACTCAGAATTACCAGAGTGTTTCAAACGCAGAGCGAACTCTCACAAGTGAATGCTCCAATCGATTTGATTGAATTTGTTCCCGTGAGACGCGATGGAGTACGCAGTGCAGCTTAATAGCTTTAACACTGATTAGGCCAAAGGTCGGCAAAATTCTCTCGCATATTATATTGTGTCACATGCAAAGCAGAAATAATATACGCACAGTTGTGAGTGAAAAGTCGCTCGAATTCGAATAACGCGGTTTTGTCACAGTCTGCTTTTCAAGTAAAATTCCATTTGAAAAAATTCCAAGAGTTACACGCGGAAAAGTCACGTTACTGCTAAAAAAAAGCGATTATTCAGTTTATTTCTTCCCCTTTTAAGTAATGATTACCTTCAACGAATAATATTTTCTTGATAATACTCTCATAAATATACTCGTCACAAATTTTAGAAAAGTTCATTCACGAAAGCAAAATTTACATTTTTTATCAAAATATCGCAAAACTTTATCGAAGTGTTTCGACTCTATGTACACTGAGAGAAAAATTATATTAAAATCAACAAATATTCTTTGATGGGTGCCATTAACATATTTACTTAAATGTATATTTTCCTTATTTGAACCAAATATTATTTATTTAAATCAGGTAAACAATATTTGCTTTAAATAAAGAGAATGTAGATTTAAGTAAATATGTTAATGGCACCCATCAAAGAAATATTTGTTGATTTTAATATAATTTTCCTTTCAGTGTAGCAAACAAACCGAATTTTCGTTTTGTTTCATATTCTTGGTTGAAATGCTGAACTTACTAGAATTCACAACACATTCTGAATAAGTTCTAGCGTTTATAATGAACTTATGATAGATCTGCAAATATATCAACTTGTATAAAATACTCGAAATATTTACTCAAGTATCCAGTACTTCTTCTGTGTCGCGGTACATACTTTTTCTGTGTCGACATGACGAACAAATACATGGAGGAGTCTGTCAGAATTGTCTCCTCGGGGAGTCTGTTAGAATTGTCTTCTCCCGATTCCACAATAAAGAACTGGAGGGTCTTGTCGGAGGTCTTGTACGAGCTGCACTTTCGACAGAGAGAAAGAGAATGAGAGCGTTCACATGAGCGCTCTCAGGAAACAATAAGTGTGTATTCATCGAGTTGGTGAAAGAGTTCGAGCGGAACTTCGGGCAGAGACGGAAGTTTCGAGGGCGAGAGCTCGACGCGCTTTATGACGATTGGTACGGAAGAAGTTGGAGGACGGGAGATATCGGCGTCGCGCGACTTCCCCTTCGACGCGAGAATCAATCTCCGGACGGTACTACGAGGAAACAACGGATTACAACATTCTATTCTTTTTGTTTATTCATCGATCGAGGTGCTTTTTTGCCGACTGCCGATCGTAACTCTTGTCCGATCTTATCGGGATCTCTTTCGTAACGTTAGCACACGTGCCGCGCGATTCGACGGCGGCACAGTCGGCGTGTGGAAATGTATCGAAACCGAAGTTACGTGGGAGCGGTGCTGAAGGTGAACCGGTTTCAGCGGCACGCAAAACTATAGCCGGCGATGTGTGACTAACGAACCTCGCGCTGAACCCCGCAGCACTAT